AAATATTTACGGAACATCGAACATGTCGCATTCCCTCGCTGCCTGCTCCGCTGCATCGTGCAGCTTTTAACCGCACTTGTTTATTTATCTCCGGTGCAATTAAAGCATGGCTACGAAACGATCTGGCACGCGAACGCACGCGCGCGCGCGCGAGGTACCAGCAAAGGTGTGCATTTCCCAGAACTCGTTTTCTGCTGAATCGCGCGATACAAACTTTCGAGTGAGCTATTTATTGCCTTTAAAGGGGATTGAAGACGCGAAAATATCGGGAAGCGCAATCGTAGCAACACAAAGATCATCTCCCTGGCAATCGAGGACTGTGTGAGAGCCCGGCGCAGAGAAACACCGTGGTGCATCGTGTCTGCTGCGAATCTGCTGAGGAAGAAGTAACGAACGACCGCACAACCGATACCGAGCGTGCGTAAATTCAGCGACGGGTGAAATAAAGGTGAATTGCATCTGACGATCCTGAAGTTACGAGGAACATTACGCTGTCAATTATCGAGTCTCGACATCACGAGAGAATGGGAGAGACAGAGAGAGCTAATCTTTTGTATTATATCTTCCGTGTCTTTACAACAATGAACTAATTTATTAATGTATTTTATGAGAAAAAGTGATAGTGTATATATCGAATCAAAAAGAGAATATATCAGATACGCGAAATCGCTTTTGCACGGAACGGAGTAGCGTCCGATAGAATAGATTTCACAGATTTCACAGATCTCGCGGCCGCGCTCTTTGAGCGTTTAGACCGCTTTCTAATCACTCAAACCGCTTGGTCATTTGACCATCCCTCGATCGAATCGTCGTCATCGACGGAAGCCGACAATCGTGCTCGTGCCTTTGTGTGCGAAACACACACACACATCTTCGGTCGTTCACGTGTGTGCAGAGCATGGCATGCACATCGTCGCTATGCGCTTTTGTTTATTTCAAGGAATGTGCTGCGACAGATGCATCGATTTACTGCCGCTAGAGGACACCGATCAATCAGGCCGTTTCTCGTATGCAAAAGTGCAGCGGGAGGGCGATAAGATCGATTAATATCGGCAGTTCCCTATAACTTACTTGGCGCGGAGGACACCGTGATCATCAAGGCGGTTCCTCCTGGGCGAGGCTTCTCCATTGCACCGCGGTGATGCTGACCCTTGCGAATACTCCTAATGTGGGTATATCGAGCGCACAATTTTTGGTAGTCGGGATCTGCGTACGCGCTGTCCCGGATTTATCAATCAAATAAAAAGATAAAGGAACACACAGATTCTCTCTCTCTCTCTCTCGCATTCCTTTTTCAATATTCAGAATTATGATGCTCTCGCGATACAGTCGAGCTCATTCTCGAACGATCTCTCGCGCAAATTTCTCATCATGTAAAGACCGGATTATCTTCTCTTTCAAACCTCTTTGAAAAATATATAATTGATTATAAATGAGAGGATGTTAGAATAGTAAATAAAAGAGATGTCTCTCGTGTCGCTCAACATCTCTTGTTCATTGTCAATCTCAGTTCATTTACGATATACCTCCCGCGACATACAGCGAAATGACTCGCCAGTTACTTTCCTTTCGGAATCGATTGAAATGTACATACTCGTGTGTGTGTATATCGCGGCTATCGACTATTCGTTCTCTTTTTTCAAATTATCGTGTGTTTCGGTGCGTCTGTCGAAATTGAAACATCCGCGTGCTCCGCGTTCGCTCGTGACAATTCAACCAACGACGAGTTTCGCCTCCAGCTCTCTCTCTCTCTCTCTCTCTCTCTCTCATCGCATTGCTTGCATTTTACCCGTCGAAAGTGACGTATTACGCGAACGTATTATTACTCGTTGTATCTTCTTTATTTGCCAATCGAACGGCCGCGTTTGCAGATTGTACAAACACATCGTCGTCGTCGCCGCCGCCGACACAACGAAGACGGAACGAATAGAGCTTGGCAGCTACCGAAATGAGATGAAAACACACAACTCGCCGTGTCCCAGTACGTGCAGTCGCGATCCGTTTGTTCTCTTTCAATTTTCCAGCCCGGCGTGTTAAAACTAGGTTAGTAACGTCCGCATCCATCGATTCGTCGCGTGTAATTTCGCGAGACCGCCATCACGTAATCGGCTTCGCGCCAACTCTCGAAATCGGGTCGGTATTATAAGCCGTTGGAATAAATGTCACTACGAAAATCCCTCTCTCTCTCTCTCTCTCTCTCTCTCTCGCAATCGCGAAAAGAGCCCATCCATACAGTCGTGGTCATCGTATAATTCGATTTAATTAAAAGAAGAAGCGAGCTGTATGCTCGAAAGGATTGTGAAACCTGTTTCGTTCGGTCGGACCGTGAGAGACTTTAACAACTACCCGTCGCCGTCGTCGCAGCATCTCTGGCCCCATGGTTCCCTTATTGCACACAGATCTGTCCTCCACCTTAAGCTCACCAGCGGAACCGTCTTATACAGTCGTAATACAGGCTACATATTGATTTTCGGAGGACGCGCGACGGACCGGCGGAGTCGGGAATTCACCGCGAGATCGTCGGCTGGGCTCGAGGCGAACGAGGGACGAGCTTTACCACCTGCAGTGCTCCTTTTTCCAGCCGTTTTCTCATCTCGCCACTATCGCCTTTGATCGTAACGCAAGACACGCGCTCCTGCCCGCCATAGCCGTTGATGAAACTCGTCAGGGCAAACTCGGATACGCGTTGTTGAGCTCCGCGCGTATTGTCCCGTATTGTCCCACGACGGCGAACATATTTTCCTTCGGAGAGCGTACACCGGCAATTTCCTCTCTTTACCCTCCGCGGTTATATTCCGGCTCTCCATTTTTTAAATCTGCCGTTATCCACGTAGGTGGACGGTCACGAAATCGACGACTCGCGCGGTGAAATATGAAGACAGCGCGTACGGAGGACGCACGACAGACGAGAAACTATTTCGAGATATTAATTATAATCGACGCGCTCGCTGAGCCCTTTTAGGAACACGAACTTCGTGGAAACATCGCGACAAGCTTCGATGTAATTTCTACAATCTTCGAATTAGAACACGAATCATCGATTCTAACCAAGTAGATGTGGCGGCTCAACTATAAGTTGATGCGAATGAATGGCTGGATAAATGGAAATTCAGTGCTATTCCGGAAATGGTTCGCCCCTGTCGGAGCGAGTAGATTAATCTTCCTCCTCACGACGGCTTCTGATGTTAATCGCAGCCGTGTGCGTAGTATAATTCTTATTTGACAAAAAGGTCGAACATTGTTACACGGCTTCGAGTGCTAATGCGTGCAACTTGGGAAGATAAATATCCTGTTTGTCGAATGTGCAAATTCGTGAGGTCGTCTTCTTTTCAAGTCTATCTCTCTCTCTCTCTTTCTCTTTTCCTCAAGTATATCCATTTCAGTGACATTTCACCGATTTGCTCTTTTCACATATCGAGCTTTCTCAACGCAGGACTAAAGTTTAAAGTTAGGACGTTTTCATAAAGAGGAGAGAGAGAGAGAGAGAGAGAGAGAGAGAAAGAAAGGGAGGAGCCCATCTTTCGAGACTTTCCTTTTATCAGGTCTCCGCCAGCTTCGCGACTATATCTTGCGGTTTGCATGAATTTGCGGTCCTTCATCCTCGTCCACGACTGTTCTCGGTAGTACCGTAAAATGTTGCGTACATGCGCGGAATATAGAGGGTGCCTAATTCTAATACATACAGCGACGCGTTTGTTAGAAAAAAATAAGATAAATGTTCCTTCGCCGAGCATGATTTAATTTCTCGTACGTATCAAAAAGAAAGAGAGAAAGAGAGAATAATACATGGTCAGCTCTTCGCAAAAGCGAAGTTTAGAATCGTCACGCTTTTTCTTTGCGCAACACGTCTTTCTCGCGTGTTTTCTGATACACGTCACTTTTCACGTCATCTTCATTTCATTGGAATCTCATATTCTTCCACTACGGTTTGATATTTTCTCTTGTTGCTTACCAGCCACGCGTCAGTCGTCTTGTATTTAAAAAGATCAAAACCCATTTATCAAATTATTATATATCGTTTCAATTATTTCCACAGTCCTATGAATTCTATCGCGAGATGTATTTACTGCATTGAATAACTCTCTTCAAAGAAGGTGCTTATTTCGGTAGACAAACGTATGCTCTTCTAATAACCAATGAAAACTTTATCACCGATCGCCTCGTCGTGTATCCTCATGAATGATCGAAATAACGAGCCGTAAATTAATCGCTCTATTGTCGGATGGGAAATACATTTGGGCGACAATCTGCAAACAATATGAGACAGTTACCCATTGATTGGCGTGAACGCGCGCGCGCGCTTAACAACGTCAGCAAACAACGTCTCTTTCATCGACCGATAATATTGTATAGTCTCCTGTAACGCCGACAATATGAACGTTGTGGTTCAATGGTGACATTGTGATCGGTTCGTCGTTGCTTCTCATAACGCGAGCGCGATTTCTCATACGTTGCGTCGCGTATATGTGCACGTCGGACCGCGCCCATCCGATCCTATTTTGATATCCATTATTATATTATACATGACTTGTTTAGAATCGTCGCGGTCTTTTTTCATACAACACGTCCTCCTCATGTACTCTCTAATACACTTTTCGCGTCGTCTTCACTTCATCGGAGTCTCTAGATGATATTCTTCTACTACGGTTTGCATTTCCTCCTGTTGCTCATCAGCCATGCGTCAGTCGCTTCGAATCCAAAAAGATCAAACCCTATTTTTCAAATTATTATACATTGTTGCAATTGTTTCCACGGTCCTGTAAATTCTATCGTGAGATGTATTCACTGCATTGAATAAGGCGTTTTCGAAAAAGGTGCTTATTCCTATCGGTAGACAAACCGGTGTGCTCTTCTAATAACCAGTAAAAAGGCTTTATCGAGCCACAAAATCAAGTTGACAGATGTCTGTGTGTATGGTGCGAATATTACAATTCTGTATGTCTAATCTGCTTTATGTTTCTTTGCTTACGAAATGATAAGACGAAAAGTAAAGTCAGTCATAGCAGTGTCAATTTACCATTTATTTGACTTTGGTGTATTTGGTATATATCTGTACGTCGTCGTTTTGCAAGGTGTGAAAAAAGTAGGAACTTTGTATCGGCTAACTCACTCAGTAATAATAGTAATATATATGTATAATAGTAGATGGAGTGTCAGATATTAATCGATAAGTGGTTCACTGGATGTTCTTGACAAAGCTTGGAGAAACGCACAATGGCACGTCTTTGACGAAATCGATTAAATTTGTTAATATCAATTTGGCAGCCTCTATCTCACAACACGTTTTGAAACTTGGGTAAATAAAACTTAACTGAGTAAACACCTTGCCAGCTTTCGTAGCCGTGACCCCTAGCTTGGATATGCCTCTAATTGCCTGAAAAAATGCGTATATGAAGTGCATACTTTCGAAAAATCCTTTCGGAATCTTAATCTCAATCCAATCGATTTTTATAATCTTTTCGATGCCTCATTGGAAATTCTGTTCTTTTTCTAAATAGAAGACAGATTTGTGTGTGATTATGAAAAATTTCACGACTGCTATAGATAGATTAGACACACATAAACACACGTACCTCAAACACGCACGATATTATTTCTTTTCTGTCACGCAAGCACTGTTTTACGTTCTGTATTTGTTTTGGTACATTCTCCCGCAGGATGTCTAGTACTTTAATGAGATCGTGAAATTCGTCATCGACCTCTCGTATTTGGTTGGATAAGCAGTCACTACACTTTGATATCAAATTCATGAGGACAGCGCGTCCTCTATTGTATAATGTATTGTATATTGTATACCCTATTACACGCCGGAATATTTTGAGCCTCTTCCATAAACTGCACGCCTTTATCCTTGATCTATCGTTATGTATTTTTGAGAAGGTTAATATTGTGAGCCATATGAAATTAGGTCTTATAAAAATCCACGTCCATCGGGCGCAAGCGAAATGAAATTTATAGCTTCACGCAAGAAATCAATTGCGAGGATATGCGAGCCAGAGGGAAGCATTTAGCGTCTTGTGTCGAGAAAGTGTCAGTGATGAGACGGACGGATTAGAATTGTAAAGTTATTCCACTAAATTACACAACATGACGAAATGATGAGACTCGCGACGGGCGAATAATTAATTCTTTCATCGGCCGCCGCCGCCGCCATCATTTCATACGTATACCTTTTGCGCGAGATATCTACGGTCATTGATAACAAACTTGTCGCCGAGGCTTTAAGCGTTGGATATGCGTGAGCGAATTATTTGCAGCCGAGAACATGGATTAAATATACTAACTATGATACATCGTTTAATCAAACGAACAAGAAAAACAAGAAAAAAGAATGGGTCAGTGCATTCTCGTGAATGCTTGTTACTTAGAAAAGTGCTCGATGCGAAAATCATCGTCTCTTTGATGTTTACTTACTTTAACTTTACTTTACTTTGTTGAACAATCGTATAATTTAAAGATATTATTTCGTATTTACCTTCTGTAACCCGGTAGAAATTTTCGTACCGATTTCCTTGTCCATATCGCTCATGTTGTTGATATTTTGCAAAGCTTCATCCTTCTGTTCGATTATATTCTGAAGTATGTCCGCAAACGAGACATTTAACATTTCATCTTGCACATCCGATACTTTATCTTTCACATCGGATATTTTATATTTTGCATCTAATATTGTATCTTTCGTATTATCTAACAACGATCCTAGCGGACCAAACACTTCCCGCGATCCCAGAGATCCCAGAGAATAGGGGAAAGAGGCAGCTGCAACAACTTGTTGAAAGTTGATCTGCAATTGATCATATAAATTTAATGTCGCGAGAAATAGCGAAAACATAATTATTTGACACACAGTGGAAGAGAGATATTATCGTTCTTAGTGCAAACTGTAAAACGGACGGAGATAAAAATTTTGGCCATAATCTTTAAATGATGAAAAATATGGAATTCCTAAACATTCGATATCCTTTAATGTCTGCGATTATTATTAATGATACCCCAAACGCAACGATTTCGTGAGAACGGAAATCAAAATACTTACGCAGACGGCGATGAAGATGCAGCTTGCGATTTTGAACATTGTTGCTCCGATCTCGACGTGACTGCCGCTCTTTCCGACGCAAATTCTATAATGATACTTCCTTCTTCTAACCGATATGCTTGCGTTTATATAATATATCCACCTCCAATTTCCACCTCCAGAAAATATTGTCAAGATACGCAATTCGGCTTGTCGCGCTACTGACATTTGCACTAACCTACAATTGTTTTATATGGCCCCAGATAAAAGTAACGAGTTTGGGTATAAATATAATAACAGCGGCGAGTAAGATATATTGCTCTACAGTTCCTTTTTGCAACATGTACATCCTTCGTACGATTTATTTCTGATAACTTTTTGCGCATACGACGCAGAAATGCTCATGCAAAATGTGCACATATGTGTACATGTTGGGATAGTATAATATTTATTTGTGCAAGGTATAACGAATACATACCTCCGATATAAATGTGTCTCGCTGAATTAACATAATTATAACGCCGTTCAAATGCCGTGCAAATGGCAACACTTTATCGCGCGCGATTCTACTTTCCTGTTACACTTGCTGACGTAGGTTCTACCACGTAGCTCCGTGGGTATTGATCCTCTACCAGGTGGATGCTGCAATATCGCGTCGTGGAGCGCGGCGAACGACGAGAAACTGTAGTCTCTTGTCCGGCTTTCTCACGTTGGTATAAAGATATTGATTTTGATCCACGGTTGTTGCTCCCCCCTTACCTAGAATTACCTTGTTTCACCCTTACGTGAAAGACGTTACTATCAAACTCCATATTTTCGGTCGCTTGGATTATTCTCACTCATCCGAAATTGTGTGCTGATTGCTGGGCGTTATGAAAATGATATCTTTTCAAGGAATACGCACGCACATTGTCGTTACCGGATAATAATGTTTTATTATTAAATTTTTCACTTTCACAATTCTGAGGGAAAATTCCTTCTCGCGTACGCGTCGAAATAATTGTATTATTCCGTAAAAGCATCCGCAACATAGGAGATATATTAACAGCGCGAATTATATGCTGTGCGCAGCGAGGCCTATCGCTTTATCAGCCCGAGCTGGCCGGAGCTCTATGATCGTATCTTGCGGTCCTTCATCCTCGTCTACGATTGGTTCCGATAGCACCATAAAATGTTCTCGTGCACGCGCGAAATATGCAGGGTGCTTGATTCTAATATACATACGGCGACACGTTTGCTAGAACAGAAAAATTAAACTAGTGTTCCTCTGCCGAGCACGGTTTAATTTTCCGTGCGCATCAAAAAAGTGAGGAAGAGGTGAGGGAAAAGAGATGATGATGATGATGATAGTATATGCTCTACTCTTCGCAAAGCAACAGCAGCTTGCGATCTGCTTCGAGTCGCGCACGATATCGACAAATCTAAGGAAACGCATTCCCCTCGGAGTTTGCGTATTTTTCGGCTTTATTACCCTTCGCGTTTCTCGCGGGCAGTCGTCTGCCGTTTCCCGGTCTGACGCGAGGTCTCGGATCGGACGAACTTGGTGCAATTCGCACCGGGGATGATTTACCGCTCGTGGAAGGTAAATGTCGCGAAGCATCGCGAAGCAGGACTGTATAAAAGCGCGAATAAGCGTCGTTTCAGGAAGGAAGAGACCGCGCGGTTTTACCGTCGGTGGAACCGACCGCGGTTCGTCGTCCTGTCGCTTAAGAGAGCAAGGTGCCTCTAACACGAAAGACACGCGCGGCCTCAAAGGGCTCTCGACCGCAAGTGCGCCGTCTGAGACGGCGTTTTTTCTTCTTTTCGTCATCACGTAGCGTCTTCTCTCTTCGGGGGTTACCGGGGGTTACCGTACTTGAGAAAACGAGCCGGCGTACGCAGAACGGCGCTGCGGCTGCCGGAAAACGAGAGAGAGAGAGAGAGAGAGAGAGAGAGAGAGAGAGAGAGTCGGTCGGGCCTTGGACGTCGAGGAAAAATACAGAGGATACTTTCATCCACGTTTTAATTACCCAGCAATCCCGTTTTTTACGCTCTTCCCTTCGCGCGCGTAGATTCGCACCGCGTTTGTTCGCCTCGGCAGGCGTTAATAAGCAGGTGGCGAGGCATATTCGTCGCGTCGCATTACCAGCAAACCGCTCGTCTTCTATCGTCGACACGGTGCAAATAGGTTTGATCGCGGTCAGACGTTGCGACGACGAAGACACGGACTCGAACACGAGGTTGATGAACTTTATTCACGCGCCACGCTTTGTTGCCAGTTCCTCCGGCAACTTTGTTGACAAAGCGCTTTGTCCGCGATTGCCTTATTATATATATATGGTATATCGCTACGTAGCCATCCCAAATGGTTTGCTCGCGCGACCACTTGGAAAGATTCACTTGGAAGGGAGTGGAAAACATTCCCAACAGTTTATACCGAAACTCGTACAAGTCGAGAGAGACTCTCGAGAAACTTTCGAGATGGAAATGTCGAGACACCTCCGATAGATAATTATCGATACACTAATTGATCGTTGAATACGGCCCGCGTCGAGAGCCAGGTATATATTCAGGCTTTATTAGATACAACACGTCAGAATGTAACGTCGTGTGTACGTTACAACTCCTTGACAATCACGAAGTGTGCAATAAAATGCCTGTTCAATCTCAAGACGGTCCTTCACCCACCGGGTGAATGATGTCACGTACTTTCTCGCGCTCCACCATGACGTATCGCCCCGCGGTTGATACTTCTCTCTTTCCGCTTTTTGTGGCGGCGCATGGCCTGTGTGTGATTTCATTTCATAATCGTTGTACGGTTACTCAGTTATACGATGAGTAACGCCGCTCTGGTCTGTGATTCATCTGCTTCGCTACGCGAGTCAGCCCGATCGCCTCGTCGTGTATCCTCATGAATGATCGAAATAACGAGCCGTAAATTATTCCGTCGCTCTATTGTCGGACGGGAAATACATTTGGGCGACAATCTCCAAACAATATGAGACAGTTACCCACTGATTGGCGTGAACGCGCGCGCGCGCGCGCTTAACAACGTCAGCAAATAACGTCTCTTTCATCGACCGATAATATCGTGTAGTCTCCTGTAACGCCAATATGAACGTTGTGGTTCAATGGTGACATTGATCGGTTCGTCGTCGCTTCTCATAACGCGAGCGCGATTTCTCATACGTTGCGTCGCGTATATGTGCACGTCGGACCGCGCCCATCCGATCCTATTTTGATATCCATTATTATATTATACACGACTTGTTTAGAATCGTCGCGTTCTTTTTTCGTACAACACGTCCTCCTCACGTACTCTCTAATACACTTTTCGCGTTGTCCTCACTTCATCGGAGTCTCTAGATGATATTCTTCTACTACGGTTTGCATTTCCTCCTGTTGCTCATCAGCCATGCGTCAGTCGCTTCGAATCCAAAAAGATCAAACCCTATTTTTCAAATTATTATACATTGTTGCAATTGTTTCCACGGTCCTGTAAATTCTATCGTGAGATGTATTCACTGCATTGAATAAGGCGTTTTCGAAAAAGGTGCTTATTCCTATCGGTAGACAAACCGGTGTGCTCTTCTAATAACCAGTAAAAAGGCTTTATCGAGCCACAAAATCAAGTTGACAGATGCGTGTACGGTGCGAACATTACAATTCTGTATGTCTCATCTGCTTTATGTTTCTTTGCTTACGAAATGATAAGACGAAAAGTAAAGTCATCAGCAGTGTCAATTTACCATTTATTGGACTTTGGTGTATTTGGTATATATCTGTACGTCGTCGTTTTGCGTGTGAAAAGTAGGAGTGAAAAAAGTAGGAACATTGTATCGGCTAACTCACTCAATAATAATAGTAATATATACGTATAATAATAGATGGACTGTCAGGATATTAGTGGTTCGATAAGTGGTTCACTGGATGTTCTTGACAAAACGTGAAGAAACGCACAATGGCGCGTCTTTGATGAAATCGATTAAATTTGTTGATATCAATTTGGCAGCCTCCACCTCACAACACATTTTGACACTTGGGTAAAGTAAAGTTAACTGAGTAACCGCCTTCGCAGCTTTCGCAACCGTGATCCCTAGCTTGGATATGCCTCTAATTGCCTGAAAAAATGCGTATATGAAGTGCATACTTTCGAAAAATCCTTTCGGAATCTCAATCTCAATCCAATCGATTTTTATAATCTTTTCGATGCCTCATTGGAAATTCTGTTCTTTTTCTAAATAGAAGACAGATTTGTGTGTGATTATGAAAAATTTCACGACTGCTATAGATAGATTAGACACACATAAACACACGTACCTCAAACACGCACGATATTTGTTTGGAAGTATTGTCACGCAAGCACTGTCTTGCGTTCTGTATTCGTTTTGGTACATTCTCCCGCAAGATGTCTAGTACTTCAATGAGATCTTGAAATCCGCCATTGATCTCTCGTATTTTGTTGAATAAGCAGTCACTAGACTTTGATATCAAATTCATGAGGACAGCGAGTCCTCTATTGTATAGCCTGTTACACGGCGGAATATCGATATTTTGAGCCTCTTCCATAAACTGCTCGCCTTTATCCTTGATCTATCGTTATGTATTTTTGAGAAGGTTAATATTGTGAGCCATATGAAATTAGGTCTTATAAAAATCCACGTCCATCGGGCGCAAGCGAAATGAAATTTATAGCTTCACGCAAGAAATCAATTGCGAGGATATGCGAGCCAGAGGGAAGCATTTAGCGTCTTGTGTCGAGAAAGTGTCAGTGATGAGACGGACGGATTAGAATGATAAATTTATTCCACTAAATTACACAACATGACGAAATGATGAGACTCGCGACGGGCGAATAATTAATTCTTTCATCCGCCGCCGCCGCCGCTATCATTTCATACGTATACCTTTTGCGCGAGATATCTGCGGTCATTGATAACAAACTTGTCGCCGAGGCTTTAAGCGTTGGTTATGCGTGAGCGAATTATTTGCAGCCGAGAACGTGGATTAAATATACTAACTATGATACATCGTTTAATCAAACGAACAAGAAAAACAAGAAAAAAGAACCGGTCAGTGCATTCTCGTGAATGCTTGTTACTTAGAAAAGTGCTCGATGCGAAAATCATCGTCCCTTTGATGTTTACTTACTTCAACTTTACTTTACTTTGTTGAACAATCGTATAATTTAAAGATATTATTTCGTATTTACCTTCTGTAAGCCGGTAGAAATTTTCGTACCGATTTCCTTGCCCATATCGCTCATGTTGTTGATATTTTGCAAAGCTTCATCCTTCTGTTCGATTATATTCTGAAGTATGTCCGGAAACGAGTTTAACATTTCATCTTGCATATCCGACACTTTATCTTTCACATCGGATATTTTATCTTTTGCATCTAATATTGTATCTTTCGTGTTATCTAACAACGATCCTAGCGGACCAAACACTCCCCGCGATCCCAGAGATCCCAGAGAATAGGGGAAAGAGGCAGCTGCAACAACTTGTTGAAAGTTGATCTGCAATTGATCATATAACTTTAATGTCGCGAAAAATAGCGAAAGCGTAATTATTTGACACACAGTGAAGCAGAGACATTATCGTTCTTAGTGCAAACTGTAAAACGGACGGAGATAAAAATTTTGGCCATAATCTTTAAATGATGAAAAATATGGAATTCCTAAACATTCGATATCCTTTAATGTCTGCGATTATTATTAATGATACCCCAAACGCAACGACTTCGTGAGAACGGAAATCAATATACTTACGCAGACGGCGATGAAGATGCAGCTTGCGATTTTGAACATTGTTGCTCTGATCTCGACGCGCGATTGCCGCTCTTTCCGACGCAAATTCTGCGGCGATACTTTCTTCCTAAAACCGACACTCGCGCTTATATAATATATCCACCTCCAATTTCTCTTTTGAAATATTGTCGAAATATGCAAATTGACATGTCATACTGCCGGTATTTGTATCGGCGTACAATCGTCATTAATTAGTCCTAGATAAAACTAATGAGTTTGGATAAAATATGACCGTGGCGAGCAAAACACGTGTCACTTGGCAGCTCTTTTTTTTTTGCAACACGTCGTTGGTACAAGGTTTGTTTATGATAATTTTTTGCACGATATGACGCAGCAACGCTGGCACAGAGTGTGTGCGCACACGTACGTGTTGAGATGATGTAACGTTTACTCGTCCAACGCGATGATGATGAATACATACTTCCAATTTAAACGTATCTCGTTGAATGAACATAATTATAACACCTCGATGGAAATGGCAATACTTTATCGCGCGCGATTCTACTTTCTTGTTACACCTGCCGACAGACACAGGGTCTACGCACGTAGCTCCGTGCGTATTGATCCTACCAGGTGGATGCTGCGATATCATCGCGAGGCGCGACGAACGACGCGAGGAAACTGCGGACCCTTTTCTCTCGGACCCTCCGTTTTCTCACGTTGCTAAAAAGTACGATACTTTCCACACGTTTGTTGTGGGCCCTGTTGTGTCGCTTTGTTTTACAACACAGAGGCTCCTCTTGCTCTGTGTACGGAGTTTTTTTTATCAAACTTGCTCTCATTATTCCCATTCATTTCTTCAGATTATCATTTTACTCTCCTTTGTCAAACAATCGTATTTTTAAAGATATTATTTCGTATTTACCTTCTGCAGCTGCGGTAGATAATCGCGAGCGATAATGTCTTTGCTTATTTTGCAAAGTTTCATCCCCATCCTCGATTATATATTGTGAAGTAGGTCCGAAAACGAGTTACGTGCGCTAATTGCGCAAACAATTATAAAAATTATCTTTTCTCCGAGGAGTATATCGTCGCAACCGGGAAAGTTATGCTTCATTATTATATTTTTCTCTGTCACGATTCCAAGGGTGAAATTGTATTATTCTATAATAGAGCATTCGCGCAGCACAGAAGGTACTAAGAAGGCATTAACAGCGCAAATTATATAGTATGCCGTGCGTATCGCGGCCTATCGCTTTATCAGCCCAAGGCCGGCTCTACGGTCATATTTTGCGGTTTGCATGAATTTGCGGCTTCATCCTCGCCCGTGCACGTGACTACGTATATCTTTGATGACACTATAAAACTCCTGTACGTGCGCGGAATCTACTGGCTGCTCCGTTTTAAACTGTCGCAACGCCAAATACTCGCTCGACAAATAAAAATTCGAGCCGGCAACTCGAATATTTATAACTCATTCAGCAGTGTCGACAAATCGTTCAGGGAAGCATTGTAAATTATTCTGTAGCTACGTAAAATACACCGGATGATAATGTTTTACTTTTAGATATACGCGTCGAAACTCGCTTAACATCGCGCAGCGTTCCTCCGGCGTTTCAATAGGGTTCAATAGGGTTGGCGCGTTCACATTTAAACATGTTTCCCGTTATGTTACTTACAGTAATACATGTACGTACTTCTATATTTGCCGATTTGTGCCGAATGTGCCGTTTTGTTCCATTAGGTATAAATAAACCTAAATGAACTATTTATTCTCTCCCACGCTTTCAGTCTCGTTCCTCCACTTCTGATTCTCCTTTTTATTTCATCGTTCCATTTTCTCTCCGATTGTCACGATTGTTTACTGTTCTCTTCTCGCGTTCGCGAGATCAATTGTTGTTGTTCATTAATCTTGTGTGTGCTTAAGTACTACTTAGTCTCGAGACCGACTGTACATCTCTCGCGCTATTTTATAGTATTAAATAAGTAGTAATGCGTACTTATTTAAAGCGTAAAATTATTTATTTATTATGCTGCAAAGTCAGAAAGATTGACGATTATCTCTTCTTAATGTAAGTCCTTTGTCGGGAGTCCTTTGTCGAGTAGCGAGTCATCATCTTTCCTCGATAATACGGTAATCAAACTGATCATTACTGATTTTTCTTGAGGCATTGCGTATAACTGGCCACAACCTCGGAGACACGTTGCTCGAGTTGCGGCAAGGTCGACTGAGCATTGCATGCGTCCACTTTGTGCGTGTACTGTATAAATTGGCGAGACCTCGCACTGAATTCGTTAACTTTGCGACGTAATTCCTCATCGATGTTCTATAATAAATCATAAACGTTTTATGAAATTGTCACGTAACGCTATTGGCATAAATAAATCTTCTAGTTTGAAGTTGATCTCGCGACTTCTCCTTCCGACTCTCGTTTCCGACTGACAAGTTTTGTATCCTGTCGTTTTATCACGTCGATTTATACGCACACGTTAGAATACACAACTTACTTTAGCGGTCGAGACTTCTTTGTGCAGGAGAACCCAGTCAACAGACATGGAATCCATATCCTCATCGGCAGTATTGATCACATTGATCACACAGGTCTGATATTGACCAATAGTTGTTAAAGCACTGTTATCTATGTCATCCTTCACTTTATCCTTCTTGCAAATATCAATGTTCGCATCACCGTAAATTTTTTCCAAATCATCTCTTTTAGTCAAAGCCTGTAAATATAAATATTTAAAGCTTCAACTCGGGCCCAGATACATCGTATTTTCTGCCAGAAAATTCATAATTTCATCTTTGTCCAAAACGTTCAATTACTCATTTCTTCGACCTTAATCTGACGAGCTCTTGATAGAAACGTTTTTCTAATTGATTCAGTTCATGCGGGGAACATGTTTGAAGTTTTCTTTTTTTCCAGTACAAATTTTACGACGAATTTGGAACTCTCTTTGTCTTTGTGATTATAATTATTTTATATTCCATTTATATACTCGTATATACTTGTATAAATTTTACATTTCACTGTTACTAGACACATTTCACGAAAAAAATAATATTTACTAATATCATTCAGCAGTACCTTTTTCTCAATTTCAGTCACACGTTTGATAAACATATCAGTCTTAGGCTGTGTTGACATTTTCATAGCATTCAGTTGCCGAGATGCATAATTTCTTGCATCATCTAAAATCATTCTCAGTAATTCCCTCGAAGAATCTCCTTCTCCCTCCGATGATGCTGCTACATTAAGCTGAATATTGGCCTGTAAATAATTAATAGAAAAAAGAAATGGAATCACATAATAAAGTTGCATAATTTAAAAAAACTGTGCAACAGCAGGTGTCCCCTCGTGAGACATTAACGAAATCGACAACTTCACATTTCTAAGGTTTCTTAGAAAAGCTGATTCTCCAAGCAAAAGTTTAAAAAATTCCTTTTAGAGGCGAATATTGCTCATAGATGCGATACTTACGAGAGCCACTAGACCAACAAGTACAAACGTAAATTTCGTCATTTTTCTAATACGGATGTATCGCTTCTCGAAAAAGTTTTTGCGATAATACCACTTTGAAGTGCGCGAGTCGCGTTTATATAACAGATCGAACTTCAATGTTTACGAGACACGTGTACGCACATGTGCGTGCACCAAGACACGAGCAGCTGTATCAATGTGTGATTAGCCTGATCTAACACAGGTGGATAACGATGACGGCAAATAAAAAACTCGTCACCGTCAAGATCACCGTAACGTTACTTTCACGATATCGCCACATATTAATTTGTGATTAAATTTGCACTATATAGCGGTGTTCTCGCGATACTAAAAATATACACATTACATCCACGATGAGTGTGGATATACTGTAACTGTAACATGTATCCGAGTTATTCCGAAAGACAATTTGACAATGGGTTAATGGATTCCCATCTCGACAACTTGTGCATCGTTGCTCTTATCGTACGTTCATTCGATATCTTGCATCGATCGAACAAACACTATTTACCCAGAATTACGCCAGATGGCGAATATAATTTATTCGTTGAAACACAGAAGCAATTGCGCTTCTTCGTAGAAAACTTGTACCCGTGGTGTACGCTCACGCACATAATTACGGACGCTTCTGTGGATTCCTTCTACGCGACTGATATAACGGGTAATGAAATTTCTGACGGCTCTCTAATTTTCTTCAATAAAGCGACAGGAAAGAAGCGCCTTCTCTAGTTGTCCGTTTGGACCGTTTTAATTAACGATTCGAATTAAGTAAATTGCATTTGCAATTGAACGGTCGCGTTGAAGAGACGCGTTGATATTCAAGACGTCAGGGCGTCAGATCGTCGTCATCTTGGGGTCGGTGCTCGTCACCGATGAAAGTGCGAGGCTCGCTTGATCGCCGTTAGAAGCAACCTCGCGGGTTACGCACGCACGCACGCACGCACGCACGCACGCACGCACGTACACCACGTGGCGCACGCTTGCACATACAAATTCACCCCTACAAAATATTCCCATAGGAGAGAGACGGCGCGGGGTGTCGTGGGAACGGTCTCGCTCGATATAAAGTGCCGTGCACATTTTTATGGGGCGCGTAGACGCTCAAGCAGCTCGGGGATTCCTTTGTAACGAATCGGCGACGAGTCCTCTCGCCTGGGAGTTGTGCACCGAGTCAATCCGATGAGAATATGTTTTCTTCCTTCCGCCGGGAGTGCGTCACGTGAGACGCGCGACTTTAATCTGCCACGGAGCGTCCTCGCCCGCATCCTCGAGCAGGACAAGCTCTTTCACACCGACAACGCCTTACGTAAAATAAACTTGTGACGAACCTAACGGGATGGCTCGATTCTGTCAAGTTAATCTAAAAGACCACGCATTCGACAACACAATTTCGTGAAAGATGCGGCGAAAAATATAACTCGGGGGTGGAGAGAGAAAAAAAGCAAGTGAAAGCTGATACATTTTGCCGTATTTCAACTTTACGTGTCTATTTCAACTATAGAGAGAATGTCTCTCTTTTTTTCTCTTTTTTCTGACACGTTGGCGAGACAATCTCACCGGATATCTCAATATCATATAAATTACGCGACCGTCCACCTCTCCTCTTTTTTCCCCGAGCTTTTTCTCCCTCTCTGCCTCTTTCACTAAAACTGAAATGATGAATTATCGTTATCGCTGCAAAATCACAAGCAAACGACAAAATTTTCATAAAATATCGCCGCTTATATTATGCAGCATTGTTGCCGAGAGATCATTAATTTCACACTACTTTGCGCACATTTGGCCGCCACAAAAGCGTTCTCTAATTGAATTTTTTCCGACAGGCATCATTTCAGCGGTGTCGGTATGAAGTTGTTTATGATACCATCAGATCTCTCTGACGGCTTCTCTCTGATATCGTGCAGTAATTTACGGACGATATCTTTTAAATAATTGCCGGGGTCTTATATTTATTTATAAGCGCGAGTGACACTCCATTATCTGCTATCGCGGTAAATATTCGCTTAATTTATTTTTGCGCACCGGCCAACAGTTCGCCACCAAATCCACCATTTTATATAATTTCAAGCATTATAACGATCGGACGAGCATGCGATTTTATCTCACATATAACATTGAAGTATTTATATTTTCTTTTTTTTCCAGAAAGAAGCGTGTGCACCATATTGGATTGGAGTAAACTATAAAATTCTCGGTAAGTTTTGCAGACTTGAAAAAATTTTACTGTTGTCTTTTGATGCCAAAATTCTCATATATTTGGCGATGAAGACGTAAAAGTTGTAAATGAGAAGGGTAGTCACAGAGAGAGAGAGAGAGAGAGAGAACCGGCGATAGTTAAATCTACACATCTGCTTGCGCACATTTTGATTCATTTCCTGTACTTTGAAATATCGATGACATGTGTTTCCGATGTTTCGTACACATTTTATACGAAATGATGGGGGTGATCACGCGAGAGGGGTAGCTGTCTGTATATATAAAAAAACATCGCGCAATACCGTTAGCGAATAGCAGATATAAAACAGCAGATATAAAAAATGATGCCGATTGAAACACCTGTAAGATCGATTAGCGCACGTGAAAGCCTGACAACACCGCCGCGATGCGCAGAAATTGCGTAACGCAAACGTTTCAAGTTCTTAAGTCGGAAATCGGATGATATGTCAAATTGTGCGATCGCGGATTGAAAAATAATAGAACATTAGCGGAAAAACAAAATAAGGAAGAAGTAAAGGTGATGATTGAAATTTACTTCAACGAAGACCATCGGAGCACCCATTTGATTGTCATTATGGAGAAATCAGTTTAGACTTAATTCAACGATTCCCAATCAATTCTTTCACGATTCTCACTCTTTCGAGGTCTCGCGCTACAGATATATATATATATATATTTTTTTTTTACACTATTGTAATCGTAATATCGTTAAGGTAATGGCATCAAAATTGCAAGTTTTTCACTTGAATGCGGAATCGCGTTTTTATTTTTAACTTACCGATCTTGATATCGCATCACATTTAAACATTACAATCTCAGCGGCGATTCTCGCTCGTTAAATCGAGACGATTGTGGGAGCTGACTGTCGCCGCTCAACTAAATCATCGAAGTCCAATAATTTTCCGTCGAAGGTATCGCGGGAATAACCGCGGGTGCGCGTCACGTAAAGCACATTCGGCACACCCCCTCGAATTCGTTCGGCCGATCGTCCCATCCGTCCGCGGCCGCTCATCCTACGACCTCCCCCCCCCCCCCCCGCTGTGGAGATCGCTCTGTCCATCTGATGAACGTTTAGCGACGTGTGGGAGGCGAGTGGCGAAACGTTATGCCTCGTTAATTGCCATAACCCGATTCCGCGTCGCGATTAAGTGCGCGTGTATGCTCTTCCATTCTCGCATGCAACCGACAATGCTCTCTCCGTGGCACCATTGTTACGCGCGCGGCGCTTATTGTGCGCGAACTACGCGCACACCGACGACGAAGGGGCGAAAAGGGGCGGCGGTTACAGGGCCTTGACTCGGAATTCCCATGACAGGTCTTCCACCTTCTTCTGCATTCCGTTTCGCAGCGACAATCGAACCGCCGACAACGAGAGAGAGAGAGAGAGAGAGAGAGAGAGAGAGAGAGAGAGAGAGAAGAAAAGAATATCGAGGGGGGAAACCATACACCTCTCGCTCCGTCTTTGTCCCGCCCCGCCCCTCTTTCTCTCAGCGCGAGTGTGATTCCGCTGAATTTTCTTCAAGCTGCTTCGACGCAACGACGAGGACAACCGATTTTGTTTTCCGTCGGATTTCCCACGGATACCTTGTCCGTTCCGGAGTGGCTTCCCACCGGACAATGCTTAGAAGACCGTGTTTGCGTCATGCTTAATTTGCTGAATCGCGGTTGATCCACGGTAAGACGCCGCTGGAACGGTGGAAGAAAGCGTTCATTAGCGGCGTGCGATCTCTCAACTGGCGAAACAAAGCCAAGCACCGGCCAAGATGAATAAGGCCTCGTTACTCCTCGTTGTATAACTTACAGGGTGCTATTAACGCGGATAACGTATTTTTCCGTCTCTACGAGGGCAACCGCTTTATTAAAGTTCCACGCGACTGCACCATAATGCATGGCATTCACCGAGCGTCGATATCACTGTGGTCTTACGCGACGATACTAATCGCCACAAAGATTACAGCCGAGATTAGATTATAATTAAATTTAGATCACTATTTCGATAACACGCAGACAGATGCTCGAGCTCGAGCTACACTTACACATTATAATTCCAAACAAATATTCTCGTCGGTGAAGTCTAATCGTCGCGGATGAAACCGGCTCGCGGTTTCCTCGATATGGATTAGGGAGCTTTCTTCAAGCTTTTCTTTTTTGTAAATTACTTCTACATTTTTCCAAGTTCTTTCTTTCTTGTTGGGAAAACACGAAGAAATAGTTATCTTTCCTTCGGCGAGCATTGCATTACAGTTGTGTACAGTACGCGATAACTTCGGCTCATCGTTAAAACTATTTCCATTACGTGCGGGGTAATTATTACAGCGCACAGAGTACCGATGGTATTAGCCACGTAGAGAAAATGTTGCCATGTTGTCGTTGTCGTTGTTTCATTCCTTCTCGAACCGAGCTGAGAAAATTTAACCGTAATGAAAAACCGATACGCTCCTGCACGGAGGTCGGCCCGCAAACACACGTCGTTAAACGCATCAAGCATTCGATCGAAGCACTCGTCCTCCCTCATCTACTTGGTAGAGCAGTGTGCCGACGCTAGTGTAACGAATAAATTTTAATCGGTAACACAATTCGAGGGACTCATCGTGTGTCCCGCACTAGCCGCGACTCGCCTTCGTCTCGCCGCGGTATCAATCGGATTTCGTGTTACGCAACTAACAAACACGTATATATGCTCGCACGATCTGATTTAATGATCGACCTGCGACGATGAGACATTTTTATTACGACGCGCTCGTCTCAGCGTGCTCTTGCACAGCTCAAATTGGTCGGTCACGTTCGCCAAGAGAGAAACTATTCTCGAAATGTATTCCCCGCTTGTTCGTGGGAATATTCGATCTCGCGTGCGAAGAGCGACGT